AAGAACAGTAGAAATAAAGGGGAGGGAGATTGAGTCACATGCACTTAGATTTCTTTGTTTGTAAGCCTCTGTGCGTAAAAGTGATTATACAAAGACTTATATCTCCAATAATAGAAGCACTTGTTTAGTGAATGTTCTTATCCTCTTTCCCTCGTATCTTCATATATATATATACACATATATATAGTTAAAGTTTTTGTATGATTTTATAAAATAAATACTTTGTGAATTCTTCGTACGAAAATCAAGTACTATTCATATTAAGTAATATGGTAGGTCAATTGTTAAAATTTTTATATTTTACTTAAATAAAAATATAAAATTTATTATTTTATAAGTATGTTATATTAATATATTAATATACTTGACGAGATAATAATAATTAAATTAAACTTATATATAACAAGATTATTATATTTTTAAATTAAAAAAATATTATATAACGAAATTAAAAAAATTCACACCATACTTTTAGTCCTATTAAAAATATATATATATTAGAGTCATTGTTCCTTCTTACGTCCACAATGTGAAACAAATTATTGAATACATGCTTCCCATCATCACCATCTCCATCTCCCAACAATAACAACATAACATTCTTCCCATCTTTTCAAACTATTAATTTGTTTTTTTTTTTTTTCTTGATTAACATTAAAATAATGATTATGACTAGTTTATCGTAAAATTATCCTTAATGTCAAATCATAAATTTTATATTATATAGTTTAAAAAAATAATTAACAATCTCTGTACATACTAATTTTTCTAATTTAAATTAACAAAAACTCAGTGGGGGAAAAAATCAAATAGATAATAGGGAAGGAACATGATGGTGCGTGCCTAAGAAATGGAGGATGTAAATATGCGCCGAAAGGTACAAGAAACGCGGCCACGAATGATCCAAAGAGAGACAAGAAAAGACACACCAAAATTTGTTTTCTTGGAAATTATTTTAAGATTCAAAATCTCACTTTTTATTTTATTTTTAATTAACTTTTTTGGGTTTAATATTTGTCACTTGGTATATGTATATGATTGTCATCTTGTTAAAGTTTGTCATGTTTGTAAATATCTCACTTTTTGGCTCGTGACCCATTTGTTTTTTTAGGTCAAGCACTTTGTTTAAATTAAAGAGAATTTTATTTTCTTAAACTTTAATTCATTATTTGGACCATATTAGGATAAACTAAGAATATAATAGAAGATTGAGTAGTAATTTTATATTTAGTTTAATAAAAAAAAAAAAAGTTGTATACGTTATATTAAGATAATAAAGAGTTGGGTTTATATGAAATTTCATATTAATTCAAGTTATGAACATAATCTAAAATAAAATTATTTGTTGATTCTATATATTTTTAATGGTGACAAATTAATTTTATGATTGTTATTTGTAAGCCATCTTAAAGTTGATCATGATGGCAAACAAAACATCTCTCTTAGTCATTCATATTCATCCCAAACCCTATATACATATATCTATATATATGTAGCCAATTCCTTTGAAGTGGAACTCAGACATATATAATTCTATTTGATGATCCAAATGCTAATATCAAGGTAAATGTCTAGCACTTGTCGTTTCAATTATAGGCATAGATAAAAGAATATTTTTATTATTTTAAAAAGTTTATTTAGATTAATTATGTATATTAAAAAAATTTAATAACAAATACATATATTTATTAACTACCTGATATATATATATATATATTAATTATAATATAATATAATATAAATAGTTTTTAAATAATAATACACACATGAATATATTTTAACTATTAACATATAATTTTATAGAAAAAAAAATACATTGATCGGTCTATAATATATATTAACTAATGCCAAAAATAAGTTAAATGGGTGATAGGAATGGAGACAAAATTAAACGAAATGAATTAAATGGGTAATGTAAGTTGAGAGGCTAAAATTTAGGTATTATATTATAATATGTCTCTATTTATACGCATAAATATCAAATAATTAAATTAATAAAATAAATTCTAACATTAAAATACATCAAATTAGAAATATACACAATAATATAAGCAATTAATTCCTTAACAGGGTGCTTATTAGATAATCTCCAATAATAAATGTTGTAACATTTTTTAAAAAATAAACTAAAGTAGAACTCAAACTTAAATGATAAACTCATGCAATTTCGTAAGGTAACATTGTATGAACTAATATATTCTTAATTTTTACACCAACCAATTATAAATGTGTGACTGTCGTCATATTACTCTGTAATATGATCGTATATATGTATGCGACTTACATATAAATAAAAATTAAAAGATAAAATTACCAAAATTTGTAATCAGAATCTCTGATTGTCTAATGTATCTGTCATCCAAAATGAGAATAGAGTTTTGGCTGTCTGTATCATATGAGATGGGACATAGCAAAAGGAAAAGGGTGAGGTAATTATTTAATCAAACTTTTGGGCTGGTCAAAGTTGATAGTGAATGGTGACAACAAGTCAATGATCACTACCGTACGCTAAGACAGCTTGTATCGCATTCATCATCACAACTCTATTTTGAATTTATAAGTAATATAATATTTGTACAGCACCTGGCGGGAAGGTTTCAATTGAGAAAAAATTCACGAGATGGAGTCGTAGCATCCCACGTCTCGTAATTTTTAAGAATTTGCATAAAATACAATTAGCCCATTTCATATAATCTGAATTTATATATTGGTTTTATTATATAATTATATATGCTACTTCAAAAAAAAAAAAATGTTACCTCATAGTTTATCAATCCAATCAATTCCCACACTTGACCTTACAAACAAAAATAAATAAAACCCTTTTAACTTAAAAGATTCAATAACAAAAGTTGTTAATATGATATAGAATTAGTTTGAGTTGAAATATTAAGGGGTTATTCTCAAACTCTTATTTAATTAAATGGTATATACATTTCTCTATAAAAAAAAAATTATAAGTTTGAATGATCATCAAACATATTTTTCTATAAAAAATTATAAATTTAAATCTAATTATCATTATGTTATATTTGAGAGTTTATTTAAAGGGTTGATAGATATTTTAACTTTTTTTTTTAATTAAACAAGGTAAAAAATTACATTTGCACGAAAATAGGTGTTTAATATTAAATAATATGTTATTTATAAATAATCAAGTTATTAAAAGCCACATCGTTGGAAAACACAACGTATTAAATCTTCATGACAAACACGCGATGAGATAATACTTGGACATCGGTAAAAGTAAGTACGTGTTCAAATAACATAACTCAGTTTTTTTGTTTTTAGAAAAAACCTAACTCAAATTAACTTGTTTAAAAACTGCACAACTGCTTATTCAATTTTGAGTCTATCCTACTCTTCTATCTTTGAACAAAATAAACGTATCAACAATTCTCAACCTATAAACATGGAAGCCAAGAAGCTTTAAATTAAACAAAGATTAACAGATGGAAAAGAAAAAAAAAAAAAAAGGATTTCTTTTTCATTATACCCATTTAAAAATTGTCAGTTAAAAAGCAAACGAAAAAAAAAAACAAAACACCATAACCAAAGAACTTCAGTAAGTTAGTCGTACAGTCAGCTCCTGTGAAAATGCTCTGTCAGTCTCGTCACCTCACTCTACTCAAACTGAAAAATTGACCTGCCACCAATCTCCCACTTCGCTTACCACTACCCACTTTGCGCATCCAGATTATACAACACCCCCCGTCCTTCTCTTTCACAACAATGGCAACCCACATTAATAATTTCCCCTTCTCCTCGTCACCATCTTTCATTCCATCCCAAAGATGGGTGTCTGAAACACTGAAAGATTGGACTTGACAGTTTGAAAAGAGTGCAAAGAAGGTGCAATATTGTTCCAGCTACCATACCCAGAAGACCCTTCGTAAGAACTGTTTACCCCACCGTTTAGGGTAATCGGGGTAGCAAAGGGGATTGAAGATGAAGAGGGAGGAGTAGAATGATGATGAGCACCAAAAACGCCACCGTTTTGTTGCTGCTGAACAGCATTGTACCCCCCGCTAACGTACAACCCATTGTTGGTCTCGTTATAATGATCAATAAAATTACTAGCTGAAGCTGTTTGAAAATTTGCAGATGACTGAAACAAGGTTGTAGGAGGTTGGTTCTTGTAGCCGAGAATGTTGGACCAGTAATCGGTGGGGTCTTGTTTGATGGGTATTGCGAAGCTTAGGTTGCTGCCGGAAGTAGCAGAGGTGGGATGAGGGTGAGAGGCGAATGCGACGGATGATGCAGAGGAGAGATCTCGGTCGTCGGAGCGGCTGCCAGCGTCGAGGCTCTTGGTGTCGGAGGCGGAGTCCGATGAGTTCTTGGATTTGTTTGAGATACCCCCGATGGGGAGGTTGCTGTTTGCTATACTTTTTATGTCGTAGCGGCTCATGTCGAAGTTGGTCACTGCGTTTAAGCCTCTGAATTTTATTGCAGCGATGTCGTATGCTTCGGCTGCCTCTTCTTGGGTGCCTGCAGTTTAATACGTTAATTAATTTTATGATAATTTACAATTTGTTGTTAAACAAAAATTAGAGTCTAATTAAATTCGTAAAAAAAGAATAATATCTGTTTTAGAGAAAATTAGGAAACTTACTGAAGGTGCCAAGATAAAGATCTTTGTTGCCTGCAACTCTTCCAATTCTTGCTTGCCACCTACCATGTTGATGATGCCTGAAATTATAATTTTAAATATGTTGAATTAATTTTAATCTTTGGAGTAAAAACAATATTTTGTTTAAGTTAAATTACCTGGTAACACCTCTGTAAATGGAGGCACCTCTAGAAAATCCACTACTTTTCCTGAGAAAAATTAAATAAATTACATATTACTAGTTATAATTAATGGCGACACTTTTAAAAATTAAATAGCAGGAATAATTAGTTAATTATTACCTGCGAAGTGAAGCGACAAACTCTTGCCTTGTCATGTTCTTCATCTCTTCCAGTTCCTTCTCATAGTTAGAAATCTTAAACAAGATACAAAAGTAAATTAATTAGCTTAATATTTTAACCCAAAAAAATCAAATAAAAAAGTAAAGAATAATACAAATACTTGCTATATATATATATATATATATGATATAGATACCGGAAAATTTGTAGTAGTGGTCGGACCCCAGTACTTCAGAGCGGCAAGATCATAAGCTCTTGCTGCTTTTTCTTCCTTATCATAACCCCCTGTCCAGAAAAAATAAAAAATTATTTAAGAGAATCCAAACAGGACTTTTAGCTTACGACACTTTCATGCATGAAAGAAAAGAATCTTCTTCTTCTTCTTCTCCTCTGCAAAAGTCACCAAATTTACAGAATCTATGCATGCATGTCCAAGTCTAATCCTACCTGGAATTTTATGATGTCATTATTAATTATCGTAATTATCATTTTATTATTACTAATCAAAACCCTGCGATGATGATGATATAGTGATGATCTTAATTATTGCATGGCATAGATTAAGTACTATGTTTAGTATGTTTAGTTAAGTAGTTACTTACCCAAATAAACTGAAGAATTCCAATGATGATAATGATATAATGTGAGCATCCACGGGGAGCATAAGTACATGCCACATAAAGAAACATCAAAAGCATATGTTAGAATCTTCCAAAAATAAATAAGAACAAAAACTAAGTAACAAAAGCGTTCTTCAAGTACTGTAAAAATGGGCACTGTAGGCAGTATAGTGGACAAGGCAAAATCTAATGGTCGTCTGTGTTTTTCAAAGAAGAAGAAGAAAACCCAGAAGATCTGAGCCGTTGAAATGGACGTATGGATATTCTTCTTCTTCTTCTTATTCTTCTTCTTCCTCTTCTTCTTCTTCTTCTTCTTCTTCTTTCTTTGTTGGTTATTGGGATTCGGATCATTAATTAAGATTCTTTAAATTTCACCATTGATTCCCGTTTCACTTTAGAACCATTTTGATGCCTAGATCTCGTGGACCCGTTTAATATACTACGCACCCCAAGCGCACGTTATATACGCCCCGCAACAAAACCCTAGCTATCGTTTTAAAAAATGAAAAAACCTAAAAAGTCAGAGAAGAAAACTAAGCCGTTTACCTTGCCTTCCTTTTCTACTCTGGCCTTCTCTTCTACAGCTATTATCCCACAAATGAGCTTCGTATCTACCAGTCCATCTATGTCTATACGAAAACAAGAACAAATAAAAAATAAATATATCAGAAATTTTTTTTGAATAACTTTTCATTCTGTGAATAAATATTTTAAGCTCTGATTATCGATTTATCATATATATATATATATATATATATCTGGGTTTTAATTAATGGGTCACCTTGTGACGCCTCTGTAAATAGAAGTGCGTTGGCCAAAGGTATCGACAGCCTTCTTAGGAGCAGGCTCTGCATGCACCAGCTGCTGCTGGTGTTGCAGAAGTTGGTGTTGCTTCTGGGTATGATCAGTTTGTTGATGATCAGAAGAGGAGAAGCCGCGGAGGAAGCTAGCGGCTATCGTTTTGAGCTCAGACTCATAAATCTCAGTGTCAGATACGGTGACGGTGTTGGAAGTTTCAGTAGAGAAGTGACCCAGCTGTGGAGGTGTTGGGCCAGTTGTCGCCGTAGCAGAACCGCCGAGAAAGTCCTCAAGCTTCGGGCCGGCGGTGAAGATGGAGAGGTCAGTTGCACCGGCAGTAACGGCGTCGTCTTCTTGCACTTGACCATCAAGAACGTTACCTGTTAAAGACATTATTCTCTTCAGCAAAACACGTATAGAAAAATATCTTTCGTTTTGATCTAGTTGAAAAATGACCTGGGTTGGTGTTGGCAGTTGTGAAAGCTTCAAAGAGACAAAGCTGAGAGGAATCATGATCAGCAGAAGTAGAGGAAGAAGAAGGTAAGTTGATGTGGTTGTTGGAAAGAGAGAAAGCAAGCCAGTTATGGGGAGATGAAGAATCCATGTTGCAGGTGGTGGGATTGATATTCATCCTCATGGGCGAGCGTGAACGAGATTGAAAGAAGAAAACACACACTTGGGGTTTGTGTTTTAATTTTCTTAGGAAACAGTATGAGAACTAGTAGTTTTAGAGAAGAGAGAAACTGATTGTTCTTTTTTTTCTGTGTGCTGGTTATAATAGTTACACTTAATTCACAGAGAGAGCGTGTGTTAATGTATGAGTGCGTGAAGAAAAGGGGGTTTAAATTTAAAAAACCATGGGGAGAGAAAGAGAGAAGAAGAGAGAGGAAGGGGGGGGGGGGGGGGGAAGAGGAAGAGTAGGACGACACAGATATAGAGGTGGAAGAAGGAAGAGATGAATGTTAAGAAGACAGAGAAGAAAGATAGAGGGAGAGAGAGAGAGAGCGCACAAGCATCGAGGTTCTTTTTTCTCAGAGTGTAAGAAAATATTTAATAACTTTCACACAAAAAAATATAATTTTAAAATGAAATATTAAAATAAACGAAAAATAGCAAGAGGGAGACAGAGAGCAAATAGCAGGTGGAAGCTTTTTATGGGATGACTGTGGCGGTCACCTTCCCTCTCTCTGTGTTCTTTGTTTTGACCAGAGCATGATCAAGAAAGAAGATGATAAGAAAGAGAGGGAGAGGGAGAGAGAGTCAGGAAACGGTGTCGTTTGGGACAGTGTGTGTGTGTGGATGGGGAAACAGGAAGGCGAGAGAGGGAAATTAGGATTGGGTGTGAAACAAAAAGGAAAAGAATCATTACAACTGATCCCATCGGATGACACGTGTCACTCGGAAAAAAAAATAAAAAGAAAGATAATTATTTAGGTGAATAGTTGTTTGTTGACTACTCATTACGGAAAAGCGTTTATTGCCACTAAAGGACAAATCGCGCCTCGCGGAGCCGATTTAAACTCGCTTTCCATCCGGAGGAGAATTTGGCGCTGCGGCTTTTTTGGCAGACCTCATTTACTTCTTCTTTAATTGAATCGAGAAACGACGTCGTCCCATAAAATTTTTACTGGCAAAAAATACCTACAGAAGTTGGACAGTTCACAGTTGATAAAAGAGAAACGACGTCGTTCAATGAAGGTTGTGGCGCGTAGAATAGTGCGAGTGAAACTACCTTTCCGTAACGGTAAACTCGATGAGGATCCAAGGCTCGTCAACCTCTATCTGCCAGAGGATTAGATTTTGCTAATGGCGATCACATGGCTGCATGTCATTTAATGGACACGTGTAAATTAATTTATCAGCATAAATATTTTTATATAATCAGCACGTACACGTGTCGACTGTAAATCAATAATGACATTTGCATGTAATTAGGAGGGTGTGTGGTACCTGGAGTATCTGCCAGTCCCACTGGATGAAGATTGTTGATTTTAGGCATGGCCACTTGTTCCAAATCTAAAACTTATTATTCAGAACTTTTCTTATGTTCTTTTTTTTCACAAGTTTAGATTTAAATACACACAGTTATATTTACATAGTTGAAAATATATTTAATTTTAGCGGACATCATGATTCCAACAATAAAAAAGTTCTCAGAGTTCAAATATTATTGGCACTCTTTATAGTAATTTTTTTTTTTGTTTTTTTTAAATAACATGGTGTATAATTTTTTGAACTAGATTAAGGTAAATAAGGGATGTTATTAGGGGGTGATGAAGGAAGACCAACCACTCCATTTAAGCCGAATTGGATTCTAAGCAACACCCACATGAAAGAAGACAAAAAGCAGATTAAGTTTACTTTACCGTAGCAAATGTCGTCCCAAAACCAGGATATACTTGATAAAATAATAGTAGTAATAATAATAATAATAAATCTAAAGACTTAACCAGAAAAAAGAAGCCCGAAAAAGAAAGCGAGATCAACCAAAATAAGGAAAAGCCCAAAAGAGAGAATGTGCGAAGGAAAGAAAAGGAGGATTGGCAGAGAGTTTGGCGACAGTGTGGCTTTTTTCATTCAGCCCTTCGATTCTCTCCCTCTTTTTTTTTTTTTTTTCTCTTTCTTTCTTTTCCCCCCCAGCAATAATGTAATATTCTTGTTTTTTAAAAAATTAGTTATTAATCACAAAAAATAAAGTTTATAATTGGGTCAATGGTCAAACTGAGGTTATAGTAATAATGGGTGTCCACTGGGTCAGTGAAACGAATCATTCCTCACGTTCACTCTCCTCAATTTAATCATTATATTATTGCTTCATGATCACCTCTCACATGACCTAACTTTGATTCAGTATACTATAATTCTCACCTTCTGCATACACACATACACGATGATTTAAAACAAGAAAAGAACCTTGATTACATTCCGCGTATCCTATTCATTTAGGTGTTGTCTTTTCTCTGCGTACGGTTGGCGCCACAATCATCTTGTGATGTTCCCCCCCTCCCCCAACTCCAAAAATATATATCTAAATATACACTCTCCATCATCTACCACTTGGGTATTATATAAGATTTTAAGTTTGAGAGTGTTTAAGAGAAGAAAACATGAGAAACGACCCCGTTCTTGCTTTTATCCTGGATACAGTTATATATTATTTATTCATCTTAGAAATATATAAACTATTCAAGTGGGATAAAAGGAAAATAGTTTTTCTACTAGCAGTAGGACATGGCTGTGTGCATACGGATCAACAAACCATACGACTAATACTTCCAAATACTCGTGTTACCTTCCAGAGCAATAATTTTTCCATTATTTGCTTATGATTCCACATTGAGTTTCCTACTACATTTAAAGTAAAATTCAGAATGGAAATTCAAAGCAATTATTTCACATGCAAAAGCAAACAAAATAAATAAACAAATAATTTCGAATTCCAGCCCATCTCCCTTAAACCGTAAACGAAACACTCGTGGGTGAATTTACTGCAATTTAGCTCAAGGGTCAAAGAATGAAAAATGGAGGTTTACACGTGTGAAACCACGTTCCTATCAGAAACAAAAAAAAAACAAAACCAAAATAATATGCACGACTAACGAAGTTGAGAGTAAAAGAGTGGGCGGTGGGACTGAGATTAACACGTGACTTAAGAATGCGGCATCAGTTATAAGTCCACCCGTGCGACTCGAACCGTGTCTGTCTCTCTAATTTTTAATTGTTAATTAAGAGGATATTTTTATTATAAAATTAATATTTCGAATTCAAGTAAGAGAAGAAAAGAAAGAAAGAAAAATAAATAAATAAATATTAAAAAAAAATAAAAGATTCTATGTTGGGATGATTAAGTGGCTTCTTCGACATGTGCCCTTAAATCAGTTACCCTCTAAATTAAATTTTTTTAATTTTTGAGTCTTTAAGATTTCTTCGGAATTAAGTATCAACATCTTAAGTAAGAAAGGAATAACCAAATCCACTAAATGAACCTCTTAAAAAAGTTTTGAAATGTTTCAAATAAGGCCCTCTCTAAAAACCCAAAGCAACTAGTGGGGCTGTTTCCCCGAGGCCCAAGCCACAGGACCACGGCCATTATCCCCTGCCGCGCTACACGTACACATTTTATACTAAATAACGCGCACAATGATAACGTGACTTTTTTTTTTTTTTAACCTTCATTTTCACACTGGTTTTTCCGGAATAGAAAATCAAACCAAAAATAAAAAATAAAAAACCATGTTTCATTTTGTATATAAAAATAATATGAAAACTGAGAGTAAAATTAACTAAAACATCAAATGGGAAACCAAGACCCTAGCTTTCCGCGTTCAACGACTGCAAGCAACAAATCCATTTTACTTGTCTTATGAAATAGGAAGGAAAAAGGAGAGGGACCTAAATCAGTGTATAATGACTGCTAATGCATTAGGGTTCACCTTACTGATCTCCTAAATTGTGTACTATACGTAGAGTGTTCCATCTCTAACTGCATAGCCTAAACAGGTTTTCTCAGAAATGCCAGAGGCTACTTCCCAGAGTAGCAGTTGGATCCGGTTATAGAGAAATATGGTCATACTGCATTTAGTAAAAGTAAATCATCTGGCTGAACATATCTTAATAATGCTATACAAAAGCAAAATATCCGAACAGAAAGACGGGGATCAAGACATAGAGAAGTATCCGATACCTAGTCAAATGTTGCAATGACTTGTTTGACTCTATTTTGTAAAAGGAAGATGTCAAGCATTGGCAGTTGATTTGAAGCAATAATCGTCCGTGGTTGAGTATACAAAGCCTTCATTTGCAAGAAACTCCAAAGCTTCCCTGTCAAATGAACAAAATGTCCATGATTGCATTTTTCCCCTTTAGAGAAGTTACAACTTTTCATCCATGAGCAAGATAGATACCTGATTCTATCTACTGGAATTTTTAGGTGTTGCGAAATTATATTGCAATGTACTCCAGCTTCAGATGCTCTAAAACCATGGAAAAGCAACAAATGCCAATAGTAGCAAGCATGACAACATAAGAGGTAGATTAAACAGCCCAGAATTTACATATAGAAGAGGGAACACAACGACAAAACACTAAGGATCTAGCTATAAATGTAAGATATAAATGGGCAAGCATAGACAAACGCAACCAATAGTATCAAACATATATGTTTTTAGTTTGTCAAAAGAAAAAAGGAATATATAGTATGAGAACTTACATCTATAATACCACACCATACACAATCTTACGAATATAACATGTGGCAATACAGTACAAGATCTTTTTCCCTAAACATTGTTCTTTTTCCAAGCAAAAACTAGGAGGATTTCTGTTACTCATTCCTCTATCAGCACACCTCCAAGTGTTGCCAATTCAAAAGATGAAAATCTCTTTTATTTTCTAGAAGTTTGTTGAGCATTGTTAAGATCTCAGAAGAAAAAGGAGAGAAAAATCTGAAGGTTTATTACCGGAAAAGAAAGAAACCACAAGCTGCACGGTCAGCTAGCAGCCAGGTTAGAAGTATTTTGGATATGGAATATAATTTTAGGGATCAGTCAGCTGGTTAGTTACACATCTGTAGGCAGTATTGTCAGAATTTTCTGTTTTCTGCTAGTCCGTTTTGCTATTTGGATTTTCTGCTTGTACTGGTTGAAATAGACTGATGTACCAATTGGTGGGATATTACTGCCTACCAGAAATTCTGAATCAATCAGCAGTCTCTAGAATCCTTTCTAAATTCTCTCTTCTCACCCTCTCTTCTCCTTCTCTACTCATATTCTCAACCCTAAATCTCCCTTATCTTGCTCTCTTCACCTCTCAAGAATTTCTTACTTTTGCCCCCACCGATTCACGCAAGTCAAAGAGGAGTTCTGTCTGAAGCTCCTAACATGCATGTATTCAGCAATTACTTCTGTAGAAAGAAAAATGCAGGGGAATTTCAGTTAGACAGTTACGCATCAATCAAGATTCATCAGGATATCATCTGCTCGACCATACTATGGCGAATCATTCTCAGAAACTACTGTTTGATCATGATGAGAAATATGATAGAGAATTACAAACGGCCAGGTCACAAGCAATATGTCCCTGGCAAACTCATTTCCACAGGTCATAACCCATTCCATTTCCTCATCTTTGGCATAAACATACATAGTGTTCATAATTACAAAAAGTGCTTTGCCTCGTGATATCAGTCATGAGCCATGCAACTCATTGTTGCTTCGATACTAGCAAGCGAGTTGACGTTACACAAGCAAAGTCTATAAAACCCACATTTACTAATCAACAAACAAATACAGAAAACTGTGATTCAAACATTTATCAAAAATACCAATGGCTTCAGATGAAGATCTCAGCAAGTTTGCACAAGATTCAAACACAAGCACAATTAGAAAATTAAAGGAAAGACAAGCAGTTAATACAAAGCCCAAGACAATAGGAAAGCCCTATTAATTTAACCAAAAAAGACAAAACTCACAGGCAAGCTGGCTGATTCAAATAATTCAAGACCATCTGACTGATGCTTTTTGTTCCATCATCGTTGAACTGGCCAGGGAACTGAAAAATGAAAGGACAGCATACAACTAAACACCAATACAAGTTGCATTCTGTTAGGTATCATTTTACTGTATCGAGTTGAAGATAGTGCTCTTATTTTAGCATGAGTTGTTAGATCTTCTAGACTTCAATAAAAAAGTATATACTGTTATTTATTTGAAAAAATAATTCATTCCATTTCATCTCAGTTGGAAGTTATTATTTTTAGTTGAACTGGAGTTGAATTAAGTAGAAGCAATATAGGAAGCCCAAACAAACAGTCTTTTGGGAGTTTTACCTGATTTGAGGTGCCAGTTTGATAACCCTTCAATGGCGTAGACATTGTTGGATTTGTCACTTGGGGCTGAGTAACGCTGCCACCCTGTTCTCCAGCATTAGTTAGTATAAAGCTCAGTTGTTATAATGCCATGTGATACCACTGACTGATTGAGAACTTAACAATAGCTGGACCATTACCTGCAATCTAGTGTGATAGAGATGCACATACATACACTCCAAGAAGTGGTGTACAATCTCATTGAAATCCATCACAGGCCTGAAACATAAACATCAGAATTAGAGCTCTATTGTAGAATTGTCAGTGCCTCATAAAGTGATGTGAAGCATTATGTACTGTGTGATTAATAAAAGAATCCAAAACAAAAATTAAACCCCAGGCCATATGTTCCCCTACACCTACACTATTTTATCTTAGTTTTGAATGGGGTATAAAGGATAATTGAAATAGAACTCATACCTAATAGAGAACACATTTAAGGATTTATTCCCCTGGATGCTTTTTAGCATGCCATGTACACGAACATACATTCCAGGCCTAACACAAAATAATCAATTAAAAGACATATTTATAAAATAAACCAATCAGAAACTTAGATGGCTCATGCTCAAGCAACAATATCAATGTGATAGAAATAAAATATTAAAGTTTGCGGCAGCCAATTTCATTTTTATCCCCAAAGTTTTAATGCTTGGTACTTTCTTGCACGGGCCTTAAAATTTAAAAAAACATGTTGAAACCAGAAACTATAAAT